CCAGACTCAACAATCATCCACTCCAACTAGTCCTAACCAACAATCATCTTCTCATCAAAAGAGCAATCAGTCTGAGAGTCAAAATTCACCTTTACAAGACAATACGAATCTTCGATCTGGCCAAAGTCCAGGTCAAAGTATGTTTCCACAACTTGCAATCAAGGATCTTCATGTCTATGCCAGGAAGATGGGGCCCGGAAAGGATATAGAGCACTCAGTTCCGCTTCAATCCAGTCAAGAATCTGAACTGAATACAATTTCTTCAGAAATTCACCCTGGTAATAGTTCCTCTGACCCTAGTCCCACTGGTCCTATGGTTGATGATCTAGATATCCCAATTGCACACCGAAAGGGAGTTAGAAACTGTACTCAGCACTCAATCTCTAAATTTGTGTCATATGAAGTCCTATCAAGCCTTTGTCTCTACTCTTGACAATGTGTAGGTTCCAAGTTCTATTCAGGAAGCCCTTAAACATCCAGAGTGGAGAAAGGCTGTGAATGAAGAAGTCAATGCCTTAGAAAAGAATGGCACTTGGATAATCTCAGAGCTTCCTCAAGGAAAGAAACCAGTAGGCTGCAAGTGGATTTTTACAGTCAAGCATAAAGCTAATGGGAGCATTGAGAGATTTAAGGCTCGCTTGGTTGCAAAAGGGTTCACTCAGTCTTATGGGATAGATTATCAGGAGACTTTTGCTCCAGTGGCTAAACTCAACACTATTCGAGTACTTCTTTCTCTAGCAGCAAACCAAGACTGCCCCTACACCAATTGGATGTGAAAAATGCTTTTCTAAATGGTGACTTGGATGAAGATCTACATCTGGTTATTGCTCCTATGTGTGGGGAAATCTTGTAACATGGAGAAGCAAGAAACAATCTGTGGTCTCAAGGAGTAGTGCAGAAGCAGAATTTCGAGCCCTTGCACTTGGAATTTGTGAAGGTATGTGGATAAGGAGATTACTTGATGAGTTAAAAGTAAGCAAACAGGGGTCTATCAAGATATTCTGTGACAATCAAGCTACCATAAGCATTGCTAAGAACCCCGTTCATCATGATAGGACAAAACATATCGAGATAGATCGTCATTTCATCACAGAGAAGATCGAGAATGAAGTTGTGCAGCTAATCTACGTTCCTACAAAGTCTCAGATTGCAG